CTTTCATTTGGTATGTCTTGGATGCTGTGGTTGGCAGAATAAAGGCCTCAGAGCTGTCCTTGTCCTGGTTGAGACATGTGGACGTGTCACCTCACATGGCAGAGGAACGAGTCAAGGCCCCTGAGAGGACATAACCTTGGGTTCCCGGGGTTCCAGTGTCCTCACGGGGTCCTCATGAGAGGGAGGCGGGAAGCTCAGAGTCACAGGTGGACGCGGCTGTGCTGCCGGCTATGACGAGGGGGCAGGGGCCTCGAGTCAGGGATGCGGCGCCTCCGGAAGCTGGAAAAGGCCGGTCAGTTCTCCCTGGAGCCTCGAGAAGGCCCATCCCTGCCCCTCCTGGGTGTAGCCCGTGAGGCCCGTGCTGGGCTCACGCCCTTTGGGCCTGTGGCGTGGATCGCGTGCTGTTGTAAACACTGCGTTTGCGGTCATGCATGCCGCCAGCCAGAGGACTGTCACGCAGAGCATTCTGTGGGAGATTACGAAGCTGGGTCTCGTTTTCTGCTTTAATTGCCACATCGTCACTTTTCTGTGTTCTCCCCTTATAACCACTGCAGCCACCATGACACGAGGCTGAGAGGCGTACTGGGGAGAGGGACGAGGACAATAAAAACAGAGAGGTGATGAGCACCAGGGCGGGATGTGGGCCTGCTCTGTGTGTGTGGTCAGAGGAGGCCAGCGGTGGGACCTGGGGGCCACAGGGAAAGGGACTTGGGGTCCTGTGAAGGAAAGGGCATTGGGCAGGGAGCGCCATGTCCCCGTCCCCAAATGCTGACAAGGCAGTGCTACGTCTCCTCCTCCTTCCTCCTTTATCCCGATCCACGAGATTTCGCACGTAGCGACGTGTACGACGGCTGGGTGGGGGCCTAGGAGAGTGACGGAAAGGTTTATTCCTAGCTCAGCAGTCTAGGGCAGCACAAACCTATGGAAATTTCCCCCGTGACTGGCACATCCCCCACCCGCGCTGCCCAACGTGGCAGTCACCAGTCGCGTGTGGCAACCGAGCTCTTGAAATGTGGCCAACGGGACCGAGAAAACGAATTTGAAATCTTACTTTAAAACTGAATATGATATCGACAAAGCAGACATTCACGAACGCTGACGAGGATGTGAAGTCGGAACCCTGGTGCTCGGGGCTGGGATGTGAACCGGGGCCACCACTGGGTGAGCAGGCACTTGAGCAGGTGCTCGTGGTCCCTATGCACAGTGGCAGGACTTAAACAGCCTCAGTGCCTACAGATGAACCTTGAGGACAGTGACATAAACCAGACATAGGACACGTCCTGTGAGATCCCACTCCCAGGAGGTCCCCAGAGGAATCAGATTCACAGAGACAGAGATGGTAGGTGACAGGGGCTGGGGGAGGAGAGGGGAGGGGAGGAAGTGTGTATTGGGGACAGGGGACAGTGTCGGTTTGGGACAAGAAAGTCCTGGAGGTGGACGGTGGGGACGGCCGCATGACATGGTAGATTTAATGTTATGTGTACTTTGCTTCAATCAAACATTGAAATTGGTGGCTAGTGAGGGCTGTGTTAGGGAGCACAGATTTAGAGGATGGTCCAGTGGGCAGGGCAGAGGTGCAGCGAGGGGTCTGTCATCAGAAAGACCCTGATTATACTCCCAGCTGTGTCAGGGGCTCAGGCAAGTCATTACTGAAGCCTCAGTTTCCTCATCTCCATTGGGATCGAAATTAAGCAGAAGTCTCGATTCAGGGGGCAGAACTAGGATTAACCTAGGATTTCTAAACTGTGTAATTCTGCGCCCCCAGGGTCACTGGGCCGTGTCTGGGGACGTCTGTGGCTGTCATGACTGGGGTGCTCCCGGCATCGAGTGGGTAGGGGCCAAGGATGCTGCTTGACCCCACAGAGCCCAGGACGGCCCCACAGAGGGAGACCTTCCAAATCCTGATTGTGCTGATGGTTTCACAGGGTGTACACATGTCAAAACTCGTCAAATTTTATAATTTAAATGCATGTATTTTATTGTATGTCAATTATGACTCAAGGAAGCTATTTTAAAAAGTAAAGCCCCCCCTGATACTGTTTCCTTCGCTGCTGGATTTTTCTCCTCAAAATGTTTCACCTTCTAGGACACATTTTTAACCTTGTGGTTTATCAGTCTCCACCACCACCTCCACCCTGAACACAAATTCTACAATCTAGGGAACTTGCCATTTTGTTTGCTGTAGGCGCTTAACAAATGTTTGTTAAGTTAATGAAGACCAATGATTTTGACAAGAGTCGGATTTTACAGAACCGGAAGCTGGTAGAATACATGCAAAGCCCAGGATATCCAGCAGAGGGCAGTGCTAGTCAGGCTTGGAGAGGGCAGAGCTGTGAAATGACCTTTGAGTCCTGAGCATGGGGACATGGCCAGAGGTTCCTACACCTGTGATCAGTTCCACCTCCACCCTGAATCACTTCCCTTATCCATGAATGACACATCTACCCACCCATCCCCCATCCACCCATCCCTCTACCTGTCTGTCCATCCATCCACTCGTTTGTTCAATAACATCATACTGAGTGTCTACTCCCTGCCACCTTTGGCAATGAGCAGCGATGGAGGACAAAATTGTAGCCAAGAGAAGGTTCGGGGGGCCTGGTCTGGTCTCTGACAGGTAAGCGTCAGGACAAAGTGAAGGGCTGGGACAAACAGCATGGCGGAGGAACAGAGAGGAGGCTGTAGTGGCTGGAGCAAAGTGAGCAAGGAGGGGAGTGAACAGACGTGATCTTGGTGAGTCTGACAGGGCCCCGATCAGGCAGCACCTTGTAGGAACATTCACTGAGCGCTTAGGGTATACCCCACATGTTCTATTTTGATGCTCGAGACAATGGATGAGTCACCTCTTTCCGCTCTTGATAGAAGAGGTTCAGAGAAGTGAGGTCAGTGAACCAAAACCCCACAGCTGGGGTTCCCAGATTCAAACCCTGGTCTCAGGTTTGTCTCCTGCTCCCAGCTACCTTTGGATTCAGCTCAGACACCACGAACAGGTTCTCTCATCTGCACTTGGCTTCACTGTTTCAAAGCTCTCTGTCCACTGAGGGGGACTCCTGGTTGTTAGTCAGTGAATGCCGTGATAACACTTTGTGACAGACTGAACCAAAGCCCAGGGGCTTAGATTGTCGTCACCCATCCCATCTGCAGGTCCGCTGGGCGTCCGCAGATATAACCTCGGCCCAGCAGTCTTGGTTCCAAGCCTGGGCTGGCCCATCGTGATCCATGCAGAGTGCACTGCCATGTTTAACGAGTGGCCCTTGGGAAGGGGGACATTCATCTGTCACCTGTGCCCACTTCCATGGTGTCCCAAGGCCCACTATGGCTTATTTTAAGCCAGCATTGTGATTTCGCGGAATGCAGAGTTGGGAAGAGATGCGCAGTAGCAGGCTGTCACTAACTCTCTGTTCGGGTGGCTGTGACAAAAACACCACAGACCGGAGGCTAAAAACACAGGCATGGATTTCTCACAGTTCTGGAGGCTGGTGGTCCAAGTTCAAGTCTCCAGCAGCCTCCGTGTCTGGTGAGACCCTTCCTGATTCATAGATGCCTGTCTACTCTCTGTGGTGGTGGTGGTGGGGGAAGCTCTCTGGGGTCCCTGTCACAAGGGCGCTCATCCCATTCACAGGGGCTGCCCCCTCACCACCTCATCACCTCCCGAAGGCCCTGCCTCCTAACACCATCACATTGTGGGGGAGGTTTCAGGATGTGAATTTGTGGGGGACATGTTCAGTCCACGGCACACGCTCTTTCCACCATAATGACACAATAGGTCTAAGTGACAGCAAGACAAAGACACAATAGTAAAACAAACGGGAATGGTGAGTTTTGAGTATTGATTACCTTTGCTTTAATTACGATGTATTTAGTTGCATGTTTATGTAATTTAATTTTTAGTACTGGCTGTGTTTAAAAATCAGGTCACAAAATTCCTGAGTATTTAACGATGAGCCAGCATGGGCCAGCTTCAGCACTCCGCTGGTCCTGCGAGGCTGTGCTCATGTACATAGGGCCAGCCCAGTACCAGGTGCAGCTTTTGAGCATCTGCCATCATTTCATTTGCCAGAGTAAATCGGGGCCACACACACACACGCGCGCGCACGCACGCACGCGCGCACATCTGTGGGGCAGAATGGACTCTTCCTCAGGTCGGAAGAATTCAACCTCACCTGACAAGGTGTGCTGACATAGGCAGACGTGAAGGACACGAAAGGATAAAATGAGAAACGCCAAGTGCCATTGTGCCTCCCCACCCATTTTTAATAATGACCGTTGAGATACGTCTAAGAAAAAACTCGCTTCTCTTCCTGTGTGTGTGTCTCCTTCTCTCTCACAGTTGTCACACTCATACCACTTCTGACACCAGATGTCACCTCGGGGATCTTGATGGAAGCTTCACCACAGGTTGGTGCGATCGATGATTAACTCAGTCTCCAGCTCCTCCTCCCTCTCTGGAGGGTGGGGGTGGGGCTGAAAGGTCCAGCTTCTAACCAGGGCTTGTTCTGGACCAGCCCCTACCCAGGACCCCACCCAGAGTCACCTCAATAAACAAAAGACACATCTGTCACCCAGGAAATCCCCAGGGATTTAGGAGCCCGGTGTCAGGACCCAGGGGGAGACACCGAATATCAGAACAGATGCTGCTAGTGCTCTTGTCGTGGAGGAAATTACAGGGGTTTTGGAGCCAGTGTCAGGAGTCAGGGGGCAGACAGCAACATAGATCTAGTTTCTGTTCTATTATTTCACGAGGTATAATTTACATACCATAAAATTCACCCTTTTCAAAGTCCAACTCCACGGTTCTTAGTATAGTCACACTTATGCAACCATCACTACCATCTAATTTGAGAAGTTTCACCATCTGAAACCAAAAACTAAACCATAAAAAACCCCGTCCCCTCCCCAGCCCCTCACATCCACCGATTCACTTCCTGTCTGTGGATGCGCCTGTTCTGGACGTGTAACATCAGTGGAATCTCACACCGTGTGGCCTTGTAAAATGTTCAGGGTCTGTCCACGTCGTGGCGAGTGTCAGCGCCTCCCCGCTTTTCGTGGCCAAGTGACACCGCCCCGTGTGGACGGACCATTCATTGTGTGTGTCCATTCATCTCTCGATGATGGGTATTCGGGATGTTTCCACTTGTTGGCAATTATGAAGAATGCTGCTGTGAACATTCACGTACAAGTGTTTGTCTGGACATCTATTTTCATTTTTCCAAACATCCGGTAACTCTATGTCTCACCTTTTGAAGAACTTCCAGACTATTTTCAGCGCAGCTGCACCGTTTCACATTCCCATCAGCAACGTATAATTCCAATTTCTGCACGTCCTCTCTGACACTCGACGTTACGTGTTTTTGATCCTAGCCATCACGGTGGGTACGAAGCGCCATCTCGCTGTGGTTGCCATTTGCGCTTCCCTGATGGCTAGTTCTGCTGAGCGTCTTTTCAGGAGCTCGTTGCCCATCTGGGCATCTCCTTTGGAGAAACGTCTATTCAGACTTGTATCCTCTTTTTAAATTGGGATCATTATTACGAGTTTTTCACATATTCTAGACAGATGTCCTCTACCAGATTATCTGACGTGCAAATGTTTTCTCCGATTCTGTGGGTTGTCTTTTCATTTTCTCCATGATGGTCTTTGAAGCACAAAAAGCTTTTGCTCTGATGATGTGTAATTTCTCTGTATTGTGTATGTTCTCGTGCATGTTCTTGTGTATGTTCTCACCACGTGACAGGCCTGAGAACAGCAATTTGGTGGACTAGTGCTGTCGTTTCTCTTGGCTACGTATCCGGAACTGGAATTCCTGGGTCCTGGGGCAAGTGTATGCTGGTTTTAATAGTTGACGCCAAACAGTTTTCCGAAGTTTTGTAAGAATTTATAGTCCCAGCAACGGTGGGTGGGTGTTCCAACGTTATCTGTTCTCCCCACTTGGTTTTGTCGACAATGTTTGTTCAATGAATGCACGTGCATAAGGTGACTGCTAAGGTGCCCCTGTGGCAGAGCACGAGCCATCTGGCTCAGAATCAGAGAAACGCCTTCTGCTTCTGCTGCTGAAAGGCAGGGTCCCAGGGCTACGCTTGGTGCCAGGGTGAGCAACTGGGCACCGCCAGCCCCAGAGACACCAGGCAGCCTGCCTCAGGCCCCTGGTGGCTGGGGAGGAGGGCCCAGCAACGGACACGTCATCTTGCATCACCTGTGGTCCTGGTAACCACAGGCACCAGGTCTGCAGGGAGGGCGTGGAAAGGCTGGCAACTCCTGTCAAGACGGAGGCGTAAGCTGAGCCACCAAGGGAGGTGACTAAGGAGCCGGGAGGCCCCTGCTAGTCCCCACTGCACTAGGAACTCGACTCGAAAGAACGACCCTGGGCCTCGCTTTCCCCAACCATAATGTGGGACTCTGACGGTCCCTGCGGGCCCAGTCTCATGGGAAGAAGGGTGGGCAAAGGCCTTAACGGTGGTGCCATCGACGACGGCAGCGGGCGTACTTACCGGGCATTTACTACGAGCCTTGTCTGTGGTGCCTCATAAAAATCAGAGGTTGAGAGCTCCTCCAAATCACAATCACCAAGGCGGCAGAACGGGATTGGACCCCACTTGTATTTCTACCTGGGAGTCCCACCTTCCACATCCCCCCCAGAGCGGGGCTCGGATTGGGCCACTAAGTAACCGGCCAATACCTGTACTGGCCAGGGCTCTGGGCCACCTGACAGGCTGCTCCCTCAAACTACGGCTGGCCACTTTGGTGAGGGAGCCGATCCTTATCCAGGAACCAGGGTCACGTGACAGAGTCACCTAACAATAGGGCCACGGGGCGCGGGCGGTGCCTGGGGCTCTTTCCCCAAAAGACTGCCATGGGTTTGGCGGGTGTTTGGATTTCTTGGTGGAAATGCTACCTAAAATACAAGACTGCCCAGTTAAATCCGAATTTCAGATAAATGGTGAATTTTGTTTAGCACAGGTACCGCCCCTCAATATTTGGGACCTACTTAAACTAAAAGAAATTGTTTACCTGAAATTCAAACTCTAACTGGGAATCTGGCGTATTCATTTGCTAAATCTGGCGGCCCCAGTCTGAGGACCCGCCACTGCAGACAGGTCACAGGGAGGAAAAGCGCAAAGGGCAGGAGAACTAACGAGATTTGTCCCTGCACGGGGACTAAATCCATGGGGACTAAATCGTGCACATTTGGGTATGGCCCTACCTGCTCCCGTCCTCCCCCAAGACCCTGCCCTCTTCCCACCCGTGAAGAGGACAGTCAAAACGCGCCTCATTCTCTCTCCTGATTCTCACGACATCCACCAGGAGTTCGTCAGACAAAATGAACCTGTTTTCCCAACGCAAAAATACTGGCTTGTTCAATATTGCATGGGAAAACTGAGTCCAGAGACCTGGGATCCGCAGCAGCTACTTCCGGCTTCTCCCTCTGGGTTTGAGAAACAGCCCCCTCCCCACCGTCCCCCCCCACTGGTAATGCTCACCTAACGGACCCGAAGGGACACGACTGCGGTCTCAGGAAGTTGGGTTTATGAACTCGCTGTAGCAAGGGAGACCAAGCGATGGAGGAAATTGAGGCGTCTCACCAAAAAGTAAAATGAGACAGAAATTATAGGACTGGGAGGTAGAGTTTAGGTAATAATTACACGAAACATAGTTTGATGGGTTCAAAGGTAGGCAGAGCCGTGAGTGGACAGGCTGGCATCAAGCTGGGGCAGAGACGCCGGCGCAGGCTTCTGCGTCCCCAGGAACCGCCAAGTGGAGCGCTGTTCTGGACGCTCTTTATTTGAAGTTCCGCACCTGGGCTGGGAATTCAGGCTGCTTCTCTGGGTCAGTGACCTACAGGCTCCAGACCCTCCAGGTGAGAGAGCAAGATGGTGCCTTCTCACCATGTGACAGGCCTGAGAACAGCAAAGATTCCGGGTCTATGATTTTAGAGACCAACGTGTCCTTAATACGCCAGCATCTTTAACGTTACCCAACAGCAGCCATTTGTGCAGATGCGCATCACATGTCCCTGTCCCATGATGTGGAACGCTTACCAGTCCACAACACCCAGCGTCTGGGCTTGGTTTCTAACCATTCTCTGACAAAAGGCACCAGAGCTCCGTGGAGAAATGGCCGATTCTAGTCCCGGGCAGGAGGTGTGCCTGGAGCCTGGGGAGGCCTGTAGCACCCGGCGGTAAGTGCTGAGAGATCCACAATGATGAGAATGTATCACAGGGACAGAGAAAGCAACTAAGAGAGCTCTCATGCCCAAGGCTGGAACGACATCTGCGACAAGATGAAGCAGTATCGGATTATAACCCAAAAGATAACCAAAATGTCCGTGACGCTGTATTGCTACAAACAAATGATTAATAAATGGGAGAACAGACAGATCTCCCAGGCAGAAACGGTCACAATAATTTACATGAGTCCTCGGCCGTCAAGAAGGAGCATGACTTCTACCCACTAGGTGTGGGCCGGGCAGTGACTTCCTTCTGAAGAGAACAGGATGGAAGGAGGAGTAGTTTACAGTGGAGATGCCCACAGCCCACCCACTAAAAGACCCCAGAAACGTGAGTGCCCCCTGGGCCCAGTCCAAATTGCTGACTTACAGAACAAGGAGCCAGTTGAATGACGGTTGTTTCAACCGCAGGGTCAGAGGGGCAGGGATATGTTCGCCGATGAGCCTACCTCGCGAACACACATGGCAAGGGGTGTGGACAAGCACAGTCCTATGGCAAGGACTGGCATGGCCGGGGCTGGCGACGGCGCCCACTTCCAGCACCCAGCGCCATACCGCATCCTTGGGGGTCAGGAAGGGCCTACTTAGGTGCAAGTGTGTCTTCTGTACACACACATGCACACGTACACCTACATCCAACTGAGAGCTGCTTCCACATCCCTGGCTATACCCCGCTTTTCCTTCGTTACAGTGTCCATCTTTCCCCACGGGGATACCTTCCCAGAGTTACGTCTGCCGGATGACCTTAAACTCGGCATAGATTTGTAACCCTCCCTCCCTGCTGAGGCATCCGTGCCTCCAGTCCTGCCAAGAATGAGCTCGCCAACCCCAGGACAAAGCAAAGGAGGCAACGGGAGTACAGCAAGAGGACTTGTAGCGTTCTAGAATTCTGCAGTCGAAGCCCGCCCTTGTCTGCAGAGCTAGTCAGTGGGACTCTACGTGCTACCGCCGTTTCTTTAAATAGTGGCAAAATATGTATAAGTTTTCCATTTTCACCATTACGATTCAGCGGCATTAAGCACATGTCGTGCAGCCATCTCCCCCAAACCCCCTACACATCACCAGGATTTTCTCATCATCCCAAACTGACAGTCCCCATTGAACACTAACTCCCCACCCCCACCATTCTGCGTGCTGTCTCTGTGGGTCTGACTCCTCTAGGGACCTCGTGTGAGTAGTTTCATACAGTACCTGGTTTATTTCTTACTTCACTGAGCATCATGTCATACAGCAAGATCCATCCACACTGTAGCAGGTGTCAGAACGTCCTTTTTGAGGCTGAAGAGTATCACATTGTCTCGAGGGACCACTTGTGTCAATCTATTCGTCTGTTGATGGAATCTGCGGGTTTCTGCCTTTTGAGCATTGCGAGTGATGCTTCTGTAAACACTTGTGTACAAGTATGTGAGTCCGTTTTCAGTTCTTTTGGATAGACACCTAGAAGTGGAATCAGCAGGTCACAGGATAACTCTTTACCCTTTCGAGGAACCACCAGACTGTTCTCCAGAGTAGCTGAGGGATGACATACATACAAAAGGACGCAAGTGCACTAATTTCAAGTGACTAGCTTAATAAATTGTATCTGTCTCGCTGCAAGTTGCTGCCACTCAGACCACAATTCAGAACGTACCCAGCCCCTCCCAGGAGTCCCATAAGCCCCTTCCCAGTCGGCACCCCCTGGAGATGACCTCTGATTTTAAGGCCATTTATTAGTTTTTCCTGGTGTTGGACGTCGTGTTCGTGGAGTTATAAAGGAAGTCTTCTTGGTCGTTTGACTGCCTTTACCCAACCACTCTGAGAGAGTCATGCAAGCTGGTGCGTGTGGCAGCAGGCTCCTCCTTTTCCAGGCTGTGTAGTGTTTCTTTGTGTGACTTGGTATGACTGTACCACAGTTTATTCACCCATTCTCCTCTGGAAGGGCATGAAAATCGTTTCCAGTTGCCGACTACTGTGAATAAAGCCGCTGTGAACATTCTAGTGCCATGTCTTTCGGTGGGGACGTGGACACTTATTTCCTTGGGCGTACCCTCACGAGGGAACTGCTCCGATTTGCATTTCCACTGGCAACACACGAGGGTTCCAGTGGCTCCTCAGGCTGACCGACACTCGACGTGGTCGGCCTCTTTAATTTTGGCTCTTTAGGGGAGGGGACTGTCCACCACGCTTTAAAAGATAACATCGTTAGTTCCCAGTCCTTCGATGGCATGGGCCCCGATGGGATCTGATGAGAATGGCATTTTATTTGTCTGGGTCTTCCTCCCCAAACCCAGTAATCCCAGATGAAGCATTAAGAAAAATACCAGAAAAATGAAGACCACGTAAACAGATCGAGAGACAAAATAGCTGACCCAGGAAAGTTTGAGAAACTGTCACAGCTCAGAAGAGAACCGGACATAAAAAGGATGTTTGGAATAAACTAATAATATTCAAATGAGGTCCGGACTTCAGTTAATAATCACCACTCGAGATTGGTTCCTTAGTTGCAACAAATGTATCACAGTAAAACGACAGTTACAAATCAGTGGAACTGGGCACGGGGTCTACAGGTAAAGAACAAGCTGTTCGAGCTTTGCTACTTTTTGGTAAAGCTAAATAAACAAAGGTAATAGCGTATTTCTGTGACTTGAACTTGCTGGGGCTTCTTTTCATCTTACGAGCAGATAACAAACGACTGCTGCCTGCCCCATGCCTGGGTTGTGAGCAGGAGCTTTGGAGGCCAAGGCGTTGCGGGGAGGGGGACACCTGTGGGGTATCTGGAACCACAGGAAGGATGAGCCAGGTCGGTTAGGGACCGACTCCGAAGCGCCCAGGGTCCTGACCTTTTCTCTTGGACATGAGCACTCCTAGAGCCCGACAGCCAGCACTTGCATCTCGTGCCTGAGGACACGCCTGGAACCGTGCAGGCCGGAAGTGGCTGGGAACTCATACGTACACCCAGCCTTCCACCAACAACCGATAGGAGTTGGTGTAGAAGTGCCCCAGCTCTGTCGCCCCTTGGCGGGCTCATTTCAAGGTACTCTGATGGTAAAGCCCCAGTGGCACCCAGTGGCAGCTGGCGTGAGAATCAGCCTTTCCGCGGCCTTCTCCTACCTGTCTCGCCGCCGCCACGCGGTGCTGTAGTCTGCATCGCTCAGATCATCAACCTGTACGCAAGTCCTCGTTCTTGGCATCGCTGGGGAACTCAATCCACAATAGAGGCCGTGACAGTGACAAGATAAAATCTCTGGGAAGAGGTACGAGAAGTAGAGGCCACCACAACTGGGCCCCAGCCCCCGAGTCCCAGCTCGGCACCGCATCTGTCATTTCCAACCCAAACCTTGTCTCAGCCCCGCCCCGCTGCCCCAGTCCAGGTCATCTCAGGCTGCAGAGTGACCGGGAGAGTCCCCGCCCTCACAGGACTCTGCAGGAACCAACAGATCAGAAGAACATTAGTGTAGGGTCCCCCCTCGGCACTGGGGACAGTGAGGCCAGACCTTCTCTGTGAGGGGGCCGTCCTGGGCACTGTGGGGGCTGAGCAGCCTCCCCAACCTCACCGACTCATGCCAGAAGCACCCATAGTCATGACAACCACAGATGTCTCCAGACATGGCCTGGCATCCCCTGGGGAGCGGGGTCACCTGGGAAGCCACCAGCAGGGCCCTGGGCAGTCAGCCCCTTTTGCGACCGTGCCCCTCCTCCCACCCCTCTCCTGCTGCAGAAGTCCCTGTGACATCTCCCCGAACAATAACTGCATCCTATTGGTTACTTGTCTGCTCCAGCCCTAGCACAGGAGGGCCTGTCAGGCAGGGATCCTACCCCGCTCTCTCTGCTCTTATGTCCCTAGGACCCGGAGGAATGTCCGCCGTGTAGTAAGTGCTTAATAAATGCTCGGTGAAGAAAGGAGCTAAACAAAGGGGTGAGTGGATGAATGAGTGAAGGGCGACAGTGAAGGAAGAAAGGAGGGGGCGGATCTCCTTTCAAGCTGCATGGGGGATGAGAGAGCAAGCACAGGCTCAACGCTATACGATGTGACTGGCCACCCTGGTTTGCCTGGACTGCCAATCCTAAGACTGGGCCACTCCCGGGCACACCGGGACGGTCACCCTCCCTAACCATACTAACGATTCTACCAGCAAGAGTGATGGCAAATAAAACTTCTCCTGCCCAGGCACTGTTCCAGCACTTTCTGTGTTAACCCGCGATCCTCACACAGCAGCAGCTGTTTTTCAGAGATTGGTCATTCACCCGAAGATCCCAGACAGGGAAGGGTAGCCACCCTTCCCCCTCAAATGGAAGTGGGGGTGGGTGTGGGGAGGGGTCAAGCAGGAGTAGCTGCTGTGAGCCACTCTGGCTGGCTGCCTGAGTCAGGGTCTGAGGGAACCTGGGGGTCTCTCTGCAGAAAGTAACGGGGGACCGGGGGAGATAGACGGGGAGGGAGGGAGATGGAGGTGGAAGGAAGGAGAAAGAGACATGGATGGGCAGAGAGATGTTGGTGGGAGGGAGGGCGGGAGGAAGTGTCCTGCGCCTCTGGCTCCAGCTGCTGCCATGTCCTGTGGGGTGAAAGTTTAGAATAGCTCCGGAGAGACCACGGGACTGCTCATCTCCCTGGTTGAAGGCGGCTTCGGGTTTCCCCGGCTGGGAAGGGGGTGACGAGCAGGGACAGAGCAGGGAGCCCTCTCTAGGACCGCCCAGACCATCCTTGCACTCCCGCGTGCCAACGTCCCCATGTGGGCCCACCCCCACCCCACAATAACTGCTGTCCTGAAGTCAGTCGGCCTTGGCTGGGATTTCGAAAAGTGGAAGGGGCCGCATCTGGTCCCTGGCCCTCAGCACTGCCTGTGAGAGTCACACGGGAGCATGCGAGCGGCTGTCAGAACTCCCCGGGGCCCAGGAGCAGGCCGAACCTCTGTGACCCTCAGGCACGTCCCTGGGGAACAGCAGCATCACCCACCCTCCTGGGAAGCTGTGACACTTAAAGGGAGATACTGAAAGGATAAGCGGCTGGCTCCCTTTCTGGCACAGAGCCCGTGCTCAACTGTCATAGTCAGGTGACCGTGTCAGTGAGGCCCGCGAGAGTCCACGGGATGCGCAAGTGTGTACACACGCATGTACATACACACATGCCTCTTTATAAGTACGTGGACGTGCATAAACGTGGACTATGCAGCAGGTACACATAACACGTGCACAGCACACACACACACTTCCCTATAAACTGCATGCGCGCACCCTCGTACAGGTATACAGGTGTGTGTTCAGCACACGCACACGTACGTACACGTACTACTGAGTGAACACACAGGGAGTTCCAGGCGAAGGACGGGCTCACGTGACCCTGCAGGACGCAGCTGGAGGTCGGGGAAGACCTCGCGTGACGGCGGGAGTCCCTGTCCAGGAAACCTCCTTTTTCTTCTCCTGAGACTTCGTCTCCCTGGCCGAGGCCGACCCGCACGGCGGCGGCGGTCACAACCCCCTTCAACGCAGCCGGCTGGCTTCCTGCTAATCTCATCTGAAAAACGCCTCCGGGCCACAACTGGGATCGAAGCACCATGACCGCTGTCATTACCTTCCCCGTTCAAACGGCAGCTCTGGGCGGGCAGGTCTCCTCCTGTGCCAGCATGAGGGCCCAGCGCTGGGCCTCAACGAGCAGCATCCCTGTAGAGCGAGTCCCGTTCCTCGAGCTGGAGCGGAGGCCTGGCCTGCGGCAGCCACATTTAACGGGGGATTAGAACTTTATTATGGGGCAGGGGGGCGGTGCCCTTCTCTCAAGGCCGAGGCTCGAACCCGCCACCGCAGGCCGCGCGGGGTCTCCCCGGGTCCCCGCTTTAGCCGGCGGGACTGGCGAGGGCAGCCGAGGACGCG